GGAGGGAGGAGGTGGATCTGTGGGTGGTATGTAGAGTGAGTAGAAAATTTCTTAGTAAAGAAAATTTTTAAAAAAAGAAAAAGAAAAAGAAACCCACCCTGACCCTGGAGTCCAGAACTAGGGAAAGATGGCTCAGATCAGGGCAGAAAGAAGCAAAGTTTGACTCAGTCAGATCAGAGCCCAGAGCCATCTCTGCCCCTGGCAAACTGACTTGTGAAACCAACCAATCACAGATTAGCACCCTGGCCCTGGGCTCAGTGAGATCAGAGCCATCTCTGCCCCTGGTGACTTGTGAAACCAACCAATCACAAAGCAGAAAGGTAGTACCCTGGCCCTGGGGCCCAGAATCAGGGAAAGAAACACATCCTGGGTTTGGGACCTGAGCCAGAGAAATGTACACTTTATCCCCAAACCCAGAATCAAGGAAACATGCCCTGACTCTGAAACTAGTACCAAAGTAACACTCTTGGTTCCTAGAATCAGAGTCAGTGAAAGAAATGTGCCCTGGCCTTAGAAGTATTAGTAGTGTCAAAAAGCCAAGAAAGGCCAGTGAAAGAAACACGGTTTGGCTCTGAAATCAGGGCCATCTCTGGCCCTAGTCCACAAAACTGACCGATCCCTGGGCAGAAACAAAAACAAAAACAAAAAACAAAAAACAAAAACAAAAAAAAAGCAAAAACAAAAAACAGAAACACAGTTTGGCTCTGAAATCAGGGCCACCTCTGCCCCTAGTCCACAAAACTGACTGATCCCTGAGCAGAAACAAACAAACAAAAAAAAAAAAACAAGAAAAAAATCTAATCAATCACTGGTTAACTCCACCCCCAAGACATCCTATATAAACTGCCCTGCCTGGTCAGTTGTGGGCTGTTCTCTCCACCTTGGTAGAGGTAGCTACTCTCCTAGACCCCTCCTTCCCAAATAAATCTCTTTCTCAAAAGAGCTTTGGGTGTGAAGATCTTCATTCACTGGTAAACAGAAGATCCTTGCTGAGACATCCCATAGTGGAGAGTACAAGGAGGAGCTAAACAGAAGGTCCTTGCTGGGATATCTCTCAGTGGACATAGCAAGGGAGAGCTGAAAAAGTAACACTGCTCCAGAGCCAGATGAGATTGCTACATTTCTGCAGGAGTTTCCCTTCTGCAAAGTGAAGCAAAAGAAGCAATATTTTAGGCCAGAGAAGCAGAGCTCTGTTGGGAAGCCCCCTTAAGTGGGGCCTGAGCAAAGGTCAGCTACTCCCTATGGCGGTGCCTCGGTTAGCCTTGATGCAGGGGGGAGAAGCTTGGTCCTGCCTCAACTTGATATGCCACACTTTGTTTACTCCCATGGGAGGCCTTACCCTTTCTGAGAAGTGGATAGGGGATAGAAATGAGGTGGGGGAGGGAACAGGATGAGAGGAGAGAGGGGAATCAATGGTTGGTATGTAAAATAAATAAATGAATGAATAAATAAATAAGAAAAAATGAATTAATTTAACAAAATGTAGAAATATTTCTATCACATATTTGTATCTTTTCAGTCGTGCTTTGCTTCACGTGCTTAGAAAAAATTATACATTAATTTTTATGAAAAGTGGCAAAATGAGAATTTATAGGAACATAACTTTGTACTATGAGATAGCTCAGTGATTCCAGCTCCTGCCACCAAACCATATGACCTGAATTCAAAGCCCAGATCCTAGGGTGTGAGGAGAGAATCAATTTCCGCAAATTCTCTTCTGATTTCCATACTTGTGCTGTGGAAAATGCACGCACGTGCACACACACACACACACACACACACACACACACACACACACACATCTTCCCTTCCTTCTCTCCCCTCCAGCTCCTCTCATGTCCTCCTAATCTCTCTCAAATTCATGGTCTCATTTTCTTTCAATTATTGTTACATGCATGTATATATAAATGTATATGTATATAAGAATACTGCCTGATGAGTCTATTTGCTGTTGCTTATATTTGTATGTGTTTAGGGCTGACCACTTGGGATTGGATGACCTATCCAGGGCTCATCCTTGGAGAAGACACACTTTCCTCTCTCAGAAGTCATTAATTGCCTGTAGCTCTTTATCTAAGTCTGAGGCCTTGTGCAATTTCCCCCATCAATATTGGCATGTCAACTGATGTTGTCATTGTGTGGATCTTATTTAAGTGAACACATTTTTGAGATTTTTATGAGTACAGCTTCGCTGTCATATACAGAAGACACTATCTTGCAACAGACATCCTGGTTATCTGGCTCTTAAAATCTTTTTTCCCCCTTTTCCTTTTATTTTATTTTACAATACCATATCAGCCACGGATTCCCTTATTCTCTCCCCTTCTGCCCCCCTCCCCTGCCCCCCCAGCCCACCCCCCATTCCCACCTCCTCCAGGGCAAAGCCTCCCCCCGAGGACTGAGATCAACCTGGTAGACTCAGTCCAGGTCCAGTCCCCTCCTCCCAGACTGCTGGCTCTTAAAATCTTTTTGGCCCCGCTTTTGAAGTGTTCTCCGAGCTTTAGGTATAAGATTGTGTTGTAGGTGTATTATTTGGGGCTGGGAATCCAATAGCTAAGTTGTTCTCTGTATTTTAATCAGTTGTGGCTTTTTATAATGATTTCTGACTGCTGAAAAAAGAAGCTTCTTTGATGAGAAGTAAGGGCTACACTTACCTGTGCGTGTAAGAATAAATATTTAAAATATAGCTGGGAATTATAGTGGTTTAGAAAAGTGGCAATAGTAGGTTCTACTCTAGGGTCCAAGAGTAGAACTCCTCACCAGATACTAGTTGGCTAGGTGTACAGTACCAAACAGGAATTCCCTTTTATTGGGCAGCCTTAAATCTGATTTAGATGCCTGTTGGTTACCTCCAAGATCTAAGTGCTACTATTGAATCCTTGGGTTTATCTTTTTACGCTTGTCATTGTTGTGGTTCTTTGGCTTCACAGCTTGGAATGACTGTTGACTGTTTTTGTTTCTTGGAAGCTTGCCAAGATCCTCCCACCCTGGGATCTTGGCAGCACTTTTAGATACTGTGAGAGCCAGTCCTCAGGGAAGATGTTACCAGGTCAGTTATTGTTCAGTTCCTTTCAGTCCTGTGTGTAGTGTCCTCAGCAAGAGGATCTTATCTTCAAGTTCTGGGAGGCAACCAAGGACTATAACAATAGCCTAAAATATTTTTGGGAACCCCTTCAACAACCTTGACCTTGAGGGAAACTTGATACTGAGGATCTTGTTATCCTATAAGTCTTGGGGGAAGATTATAACCCCAAATAGCTTCACTATAAATGTTTGTATCTATGTATACATATATATGTACATATATATGTGTGTATATATATACATAATATGTATGTATGTGTATGTATTTTTAACTAAACATAATGTATTTCCCTATAACTTTCGCCAACATTGTTAGTGTTATTTATCCATCCTCCATTCTTCTCCCTTCATATTGCCCTCCTCACTTCCCAGTTGCATTTCTCTGCCTGGTTCTTCCTATTTCCCACATTCTAGCACCTGTGCCCTACTATCCCTCTCTCTAGAGCTCAGTATTTCTGCCAGTATAATACTTTTTTATTATTATAGCTCTGTGACATAGTTTGAAATGTAGATTGGTGATGGATCGCTCCATCATTGATCTTTTTGCTCAGGATTACCCTGGCTATGTAGGGTCTTTTTTCCCTACTTCTGTGAAGGGCTTTGAAATTTTGACTGGGATTGCATTGATTCTACAGACAAGTTTTGGTATACTGAACATTTTCACAATATTAAATCTAGCAATCAATAGGCATCCAATGTCTTTGCCTACTGTCTTTCTTGACCTTTTTCTTTAGAGATTTAAATTTTTCATTATAAAGATCATTTACCTCCTTGGTTAGGATTTTTCTTAGATAATTTTGAAGCTATTGTGAATGAGAGTCTTTTCACAATTTCAGCAAGTTTGTATTGGTATATAGAAAGACTACTGGTTTCTGTGAGGGAATTTTTTAAATCTTGCCAGTTTGTTCAAATGTTGATCATTTGTATACTTTTCTGCTAGAGTAATTTGAATGTTTTATGTATAATATGATCTGTAAACAGGAATAATTTGACTTCTATATCTATTTGTATCACTCCAATTTACTCTTATTCCTTACAGCTCTGCTTCAAGCACTACATTGAAATGGAGTGGGGATAGTGAACAGTCTGTCTCATTCTGGATTGAATTTCAAATTATATTTCATTAGATTTTTCTCAATTTTGATTCTTTTTTGTACTCATTATACTATCATTAATAATTTTGGAACCTATATTTGGACATTGGAATGTGTGTAATAGAGTAACACAGGTTGGCAATAAACTTATTTTGGAGCTATATTGTCTTCAAGGAGAAGAAAAACATTCTGGAAAACATAAAAAAAATCATGTTACTTGGTAGGGAAGATAGACACTTCAAAAAACTCCTAAGGTCAATGTTCACTTATTTGTGGCCTGGCAGATCACAACCTCCCAGACCATGTTCCACCTAAACTATCTTACTGAAAAAGTCTAATCAGTGCTACAGTTGTAAGTTCAAATTACCTCTGTTTTCCCTGGAATTGTACTGGCATTTTTAATAGGATGATATCTTGGGCTCCGCTGAGGCCTTTAAGTGGACTATGTCACAAAGTGGGATGCAACAAACACTTCAAAGAGGTAAGGGTCCACAGTGTCTGAGGACTGGTACTGCTGTCCAAACACCTCACATCATGTAGTATCTCCTACCTGAACCCAGAAACCATTCCTCCAACCTTAGTCCCTGCCAAATACACATGGAAACATCAGTCCTTTCTGCTCCCACATCCTGCCCCATGAAATAAAGCATCAGGAGCATGTTCATCCCTGTGAGTGCCAACATTGCAGATCCTTCAGCATCAGCTTACATATAGACCTGTTGTCAGGCTCCCAGACCTGTAGAAACCAATGTCCCTCTCTTACCAGACCATCTCCCCACCCTTCTTCCCAAGAGCCCACCATAGACCACAGGGAAACTCAACTGCTGACATCTGATTGCTTTTATTTTCAGTACCATAAGAGGGCTCTGTGGTAATGGTCAAGGTAACTGTCAATGTCCATGACTGGACATGACTCAGCGCTAAGATCTCTTGACCATACTGAGACCCTCAGCTGGTCTAGTCACTAGCAGAGACGCTGGTGCTCGGTGTGACCCCTTCTTGCTCGGGATCACTGGTAGACGGCTCCACGTTGAGCGGATGGCCGTCCTCAAGTGAGGGCTTTCTCCCATCTCTCGCAAAGGTTCTCAGAATCTTCCTGGAGGGTTTTCTCCTTCGCCTCCTAGGGCGCCGGCGGCGTCTGGTTCGCCGCAGAACAGTCTTTTGCACCTGCAAGGACGGCAGAGTGAGGAAACAGGGTCTTTGGTATGGGAGAGGATGGTAAGGTATTATGAGGCAAAGGTGTGGGTTGAGGAGGAAATGCGTGCCAGGCCAGGGAAAGACAAGATTCCCAGGGGAAGGGAAACTGATCAAGGAAGAAGAAAGGGTACTTAGCTCTGGTTCTCTCACCCTTGGAAATCTTCTTGGAACTGGCTGACCTGCAGCTTTGTCACCTGCAGGGAGACTGGCTTGGCAGGGAGTCGGGGCATTCGTTTGCTGGTTCTCTGAGGTTGAGTTGAAATCTTTGTTAGGCTCCCCGGCGTCCTCACTCACCTCCATAATTGAGCCTTTCAGAGGTCTGACCCAGAACTCGCAGCACCCTACTGATCTAGCCCCCAGAACAATGCAGGGCCACACCCTTCAACCCTGATTGGTCAGCACAGCCTTGCCAGCTGTCTGACTTCATAAAGCACTGCCTCTGACCGCTCTGGACAGGGTTGAGGGGTGTCTTCTAGAGAAGGCAGGATGTACCTGAGAAACCAGAAAGTACCACCTTGATACCTCGGGGGAGGGGGACTATGGTGGTAAAGGAAATAGAGTCTGTGAGGAGACAGGAGGCTCTTGGTGAGCTTCTCCAAGAGCTATTTCCCAAACCACCTTTCTTTCATGTAGTCAATCCTAATTACAGTGTAAAATGTGGCAGAAAGCCCCCTTCTCCAAACTCATCCTCATGTCACCCTTACTCCATGGATTATTCTGTTTTGTCTTTCCCTTATCCCTTAACTAGTGTTTGAATGTTATTTTGAAAATATTTCCAAAAGTTATTTGACAGTAATAAAGACTTGGGAAGGTGAATCACCTACAAAACACCAAAAAAAAAAAAAAAAAGAAAACATCTCCCTGTTCATTAAATTTTTCCACAGTGAAATAATCCACCACAGTACAATCAGAAAGAAGTAAAAGAAGTTTGGGGGATTGGTTTTGTTCATCATTCTGCAACACAGAATCTGAAGAGACATTCTATAAAATGTAAGGAAGTTGAGAATTATGCTCACTACATGTTCAACTGTTTGGTGAGAAAGGAAAAGCAGCCAAAATCTATTTTGTAAGATTTTGTTTATTCAAGTTCTGTAGATTCCAGGAAGGAGAAGGCTTCAAATCAGATGATTGATCAGCCTACAGTTGAACATGCTAAATACTTTCCTACTCTTTAGTACCTAGCATTGGAAAATCGTGTTGGAAGGAAAGCTTGGAAAATATAGGCCAGAGTCTCAACTCTAGCACTGCAAAAGAACACCAACTGTAGCTTCCATTCCCCCATGCCTACATCTCCTATGGCTCCCAGAGACCATGCCCTTCTAACATCCCTCCCCCAACTTTGTGCTTGTCCCAGATGCTACATCCAGAAGGCACCCCCTGCTAACCCAAGGGCAGCTCCTTCCAAGCCAACAAGTAGGTTGAAAACAGACCCACACCTCTACTCCTGTTCCTGAGATCCAAACTCCCCAGTCTCATCCCCAGTTCTGTAGCAGGAAACCTGCTGTGGTCTCCCTTTCCTCTCTGACCCATTTCCAATGGATCACAAAGACCCCAGGTTGTGAACAAAGATGTGTTACATTTGTTCATGTTGCAGAATATTACTTAAACTATGTAAAGGTATGTTACATTTGTTGCTGCATTTGTTTATGTAAAACTCAATTGCTGGTTCACCTTGCCTACCTAAGGCATCTGATTTGTCTAATAAAAAGCTGAACAGCCAATAGCTAGGCAGTAGAGGAATAGGTGGCACTGGGGGTCGGTGGATAACGAGAATAAATAGGAGGAGGAATCTAGGCTTGAGAGAGAAGAGAAGGAGAGAATGAGGTAAAAAGAAAGGGAGATGTCCATGGCCAGACAGACAGACATGGAGTAAGACACACAGAATACAAGAAATGTAAAAAGCCCCAAGGTAAAATGTATACGAAGAGAAACAGGTTAAATTATGTTATAAGAGCTAGTGGAACAAGCATAAGATAAGGCCGAACATTCATAACTAACAATAAGTCTCCATGTCATGATTTGGGAGCTGGTTGGTGACCCAAAAAGAAAGCCTGCTACATTCTCCCAACCTTCTTTCCCCCAGTGCATCCAACTTATGCCACCTCCAACACCAGCAGGGAACACACCAGCTGAAAATGCAGAATCACAATCTCTGAAAATCCAGAGAGGAGAAAGAAACCAAGAAAAAATCCATCCAATAAAGACAAGACCAGATACCAGCACCTAGAACTGCAATCTTCTCAAACCCAGATGCTGAGATACCAGCATAAAAACACAATCAATAATAGCCAAGGCAGTATGTCTCCACTAGAGCTCAGCTATCCTATCACTATAGGCCCTGAATATCCCAGCATAGGTGACACACAAGGAAAAGACTTAGGTGTATCTGGAGTTTTTCTCTCCAGGTCCCACCAAGCCTCAGCAGTCCCATAGCCCATTTATAAAATAAACATAGAGACGCTTATATTATTTAAACTGCTCAGCCATTAGCTCGGGCCTACAATTGTCTAGCTCTTACTCTTATACTCAGCCCATTTCTGTTAATCTATATGTAGCCACGTGTTCTGTGGCTTTACCTGCTGCCTTTACATGATGCTCCCTGGATGGCAGGCTGGCATCTCCTCCTCTCTGCCTTCCTGTTCTCTCAATTTTCCTCTCTGCTAGGCCCCTCTATACTTCCTGCCTGGCTACTGGCCAATCAGTGTTTTATTTATCAATCAATCATCCACAGCACTTCCCCTTTTTCTTTTTTTTTCAAAAAGGAAAGTTTTAACTTTAACACAGTAAAATTACATATAATAAAACAATTATCAAGCAAGAATTACAGTTAAAATATTAAAGAAGATATATATCTTTTTTTTGAGACAGGGTTTCTCTGCGTAGCTTTGCGCCTTTCCTGGAACTTACTTGGTAGCCCAGGCTGGCCTTGAACTCACAGAGATCCTCCTGGCTCTGCCTCCCGAGTGCTGGGATTAAAGGCATGCGCCACCACCGCCCGGCCGAAGATATATATCTTATATTTGTGAGTCTAAGGTTTTATATCTAACTTATCTTTTATCATAACTGAGGAAATTATAACTATTAAGTCTTCAATTATGTCAAAGACCCCAGAAGGATATACTATGACCTGAGAAACGGGAAAAGGATGCAAGCAACTTTCGGGATTCTTGCAGGGTAGACAGAGACAGCTGGCAGCCTGGACAGTCACCTAATGTTCTTTCTTAAAGTTGGGGCATCTGTCTTCAGCCCACAGGCCTAGAGACTCTCAGTCATTTTTTCTCTGTGTTTTGTAGAAAGTCTGGCAATTTCCTCTGTGAAGCAGGAACCTGAAGAACCATATTGCCAAGCAAAGTTCAGTGGTCACCTTCCTATGGGTCCTGCATGTCCAATCAAGCAGTCCAGGCAAGAACAGTTTCTTGCCCAAATGGCTATTTTTGCCAAGGTGAAGATAAACTCCATATGGAGTGTCTTTGATGCCCATCCTCCTCTCTGAAGTAAATCGGTGTTGCCAGGAGCAGACATGTCTCATTGTCCAGAAAGTCTACATTTTTAAAACATTTTAAATGTCATATTCTGTAGGTCTTTGAAGTGTTTGAAGATTACCTACCTAGTTGAATTATATCTATGTATACCTAGAAAACTTAACATGACTATAAGTTTGACTATCATAGAAGACTAATTATTAATCTGCACTTCTTTTTTTACTTTCATTTTTTTATTAAGAAATTTTCTACTCACTGCACATACTATCCACAGATCCCCCCTCCTCCCTCTGCCTACCACCCAGCCCTCTTTCCCAAGCCACCCCATATCCCCACATCTCCTAAAGGTCTCCCATGGGGAGTCAGCAGAGCCCAGCACACAGAGCCTAGGCAGGTCCAAGCCTCTTCCCACTGCACTAAGGCTGTGCAAGGTGTCACACCACAGTCACCAGGTTCCAGAAGCCTGCCCATAGACCACAGGCAGATCCCAATCCCCCTGCCTGGGTGCCCCCCAAACAGTTCGATCCAAACAACCATCTTCCATATCCAGAGGGCCTAGTCCAGTCCCATGGGAGCTCCACAGCCACAAGTCCACAATTCATGGGCTTCCACTAGTGTGGCTGGTCATCTCTGCACGTCCTCCCATCATGATCTCAACATCCCTCACCTGCAGTATCTCTCCTCTCTCTCATCAATAGGATTCCCAGAGCTCATCCTGGTGCCAGGCCATGGATCTCTACATCTGCCTCCATCAGTCACTGGACAAAGACTCTATGATGACAGCTAGGTTATTTGCTAGGCTGTTCACTAGAGTAGACCAGTCCAAGCACCCTCTGGACCACTGCCAGCAGACCAAGGTGGGGTCAACCTTGTGGATTCCTGAGAGCCTTCCAGCACCTTACCTCTTTCTATTCCCATGATGTGCTCATCTGTCATGGTATCTTCCTCCCTGCCCTCCCACTCTGTCCCTGTTCCAGCTTGACCCTCCCATTTCCCTATGTTCTCATCCCCCACTCCTCATCCTCTGCCAGCCCCCCACACCCAGTCCAATAATGTAGATCTCATCAACTTCTCCTTTGCTGGGTCATCCATGTGTCCCTCCTAGGGTCTTTTCCTGTTAGCTAGCCTCTCTGGAGTTGTGGGTTGTAGTCTGGCCATCCCTTCCCTCACATTTAGTATCCACTTATGAGTGAGTGCATACTATGTTTGTCCTTCTGAGTCTGGATTACCTCATTCAAGATGATATTTTCTAGTTACATACATTTCCCTGCAAATTTCATTATATCATTGTTTTTTTACTACTGAGTACTACTCCATTGTGTATATGTGCCATATTTTCTTTATCCATTCTTCAGTTGCGGGGCATCTAGGTTGCTTCCAGGTTTTTGCTATTATGAATAATGCTGATATGAACATAGTTGAGCATGTGTCCTTGTAATAAGATTGAGCATTCCTTGGGTATATGCCCAAGAGTGCTATAACTGGGTCTTGAGGAAGACTTATTCCCAATTTTCTGACAAACCACAATATTGATTTCCGGAGTGGTTGTACAAGTTTGCATTCCCACCAACAGTGGAGGAATGTTCCCCTTGCACCACATCCTCTCCAACATAAGCTGTCTTCAGTGTTTTTGATCTTAGCCATTCTGACAGGTGTAAGATGGTATCTCAGAGTTGTTTTGATTTGCATTTCCCCGATGACTAAGGATGTTAAGCAATTCCTTAAATGCCTTTCAGCCATTTGATATTCTTCTGTTGAGAATTCTCTGTTAAGCTCTGTAGCCCATTATTTTAATTGGATTGTTCAGTATTTTGATGTCTAGCTTTTTTTAGTTCTTTATATATTTTGGAGATCAGCCCTCT